CCCCAAAACCCCAAAACCCCAAAACCCCAAAACCCCAAAACCCCAAAACCCCAAATGGAATAATACAAATTGAAATTATTGAGGCTTAATAAACAAGATGGGAATTGAAGAAATTTGATTTGAATCTTTTGAGGGGCTTCTGGTCCCCTTCAAAAGTGTATACAAGTTCATTAAACATCTCGGTAGTGGCAGCTTCGGAGATGTTTACGAAGTAGTCCGACTATCTTCAGGTCTGAGAATGGCTTTAAAGGTAAAGAAACTTTTATATGAAATTTACGTTAAAATAAACCTTTCTTCTAGATCGTAAATAAAGATTCCAGCAGTAGCGATAAGACCTCATTGCTGAAGCATGAAGCCAAAATTTTGGAGGAGTGCGAACATCCAAATATCGTCAGATTTTATTACGTAAGTTCCATAGATCATTTAGAGTCCATTTGTAGCCTTTTACACCCGACTCACCATTTTTGATTTTAGCTCGACGAATACGTAAATTACCTTGTCATGGCAATGGAATTGTGAGAGCTTGGATCAGTGAAGCAATATATGAACAGGTAAATTTCAAAATACTACTCTTTTCTCATCTGACTCTTTGTTATTCATCATTTATGAGCGAGTTTCAGACTTTATGTAGCCTGCCAGATCGAAGTAAAGTTGAAGACCTGACCGCAAGCACGATCACAAAAGGTATTCTTAGCGGTCTTGAATATCTCCATGAGCGGAATATTTTCCACAGAGATTTAAAACCTGATAATGTCTTACTCTCAGGCAACAATAAGTCTTTAGTTGCCAAAATATGAGACTTTGGGCTAGCCAAAAAGTTAGATCCAGGCATGGATGGGCTAGTCTCTGAGCTCTGAGGGACTCTCTTGTATAAAGCTCCAGAACAATTGCTTGGAAAGTTCTATTCAAAGGTAAATCTCCTCTCTGACTCTTAGGGTGTTGATATCTGGGCAACTGGATTCATCATGTTTGAGATGCTAAACAGGCAAAGACCAATAAAAGATAGCACTAAGATGAAAAACACTGACTACATTGACTTGTTTAAAAATGGAGAAGACAAAATTTTTAATATTCCTCCTGAATTTGAGAAAACGTAAGACTTTAGCCTTATCTTTCAGAATCGCTTGTGATTTCTTCAAGAGGACATGCAGTTTTCATCAAGGAAAAAGATACAAAGCAATTCGGGCACTAAAGCACCCATGGATCACCAGAAATAAGAACGATAAGATTCCTAAAAGTTTTTATGAAGAAATGATTCGAGATTATGAACTAGAGGAGCTCTTTAAGAACACTCAGCGGTAAGTTTGGTCATCATGACTTTTGATCCCTCTTTAATGATTTTGCTAGAAACATTTCTCCTAGGCTGTTATCTCGTAAACTTTGGAGCATATCAGAAACTTTTGATAATTCAGCTCTACCTTGAAAGATTTCATGAGCAGAAACTTTCAAATTTCTGCTCGTTTATTGTTCATTTACAAGAATTAAACTCAAATATAGACTACTATTCACTCTTTCTATCATGGATAGGAAAAAGAAAAGTGATCCTAATTATGTTCAGAAAATTAAGAATATAAATATTGAAACGGTCGGTGAAAATCAAGCCTGAGAAAATCCTTCCGAAGAATCTGGAAATTTAAAAATGGGGTATGAACCTCTTGTTTATTCTAATATTTTTTAAGCTAATTTTATTGGCTTGCTTAATGAAATTTTGGTTTGGAAATATACATTCTTAACCTGACTCTCATCTAGCTCAAAGGTAGACTCCAAGAAATTATCGAATTCTTCTATTCTAACCGAATCTGATATGACCAAAGTCTCATCAAATGATCAACAGAAGCACTCAAAAGTCAACATCAGAATATCTTCCAAATAAGCTGAAATCTAAGAGAGCAAAGACCGGAGTCAGAAAATCTGCAGCTAAGAGATTTGTCCGTGTCAAAAGATCTAAGCCAAGACAGCCAACAAAGGCTCAAGGGAGTATGACGAAGCTCGGTGAAAATGCTCCCCAAATGTTTCAGCTAAAGTAAGCTTCTGCTTCATGAAAGTTTAAGAGACCTGGTTTCTAGCTCTCATTATAGTGCGGTCCCTCTAAACTCAGGAGAAAGTATAAGGAAGAAGAATATCTATGCTCAGGTTCCTTCAACTCTTAAAACCCACAGTAGAATCCCAAGGGTTACTTGTAAGCTATCTGAGATGCCTGATTGGGTCCTAATGGTGTGATATAGCCTTCAAGATGCAAGATAGAGTAAACAAAGTGCGTACAGCTTATCTTTCAGAGATTAAGACTTTTCAACAAATTTGTGGCTTTTGATGCACCCATTCGTTTATAATCCTTTTGGAGTTAACCAAATTCTACAGCTAGAAGTGAATATCAACCGGAGCTTTGAAAAAGAAGTAAGTAGACCTTGACAAGAAACTTGAGGCTAATTTTTCATTTTTAGGAGAAACTTCAGAGAAGAGTTTTGCCAGAAATTGACTCTAAATAAGACACTAAAATCACCCAAAAGCAGACTGTCGAAGGACTATTTGCCAAAGTTCCGTAGAGGTACTTGATTGCTGTTACCTTTTATTGAGAGATTGCCTAGAGTGCCTGTATTTTTTACTTTTTTGAGATCGATATTTGAGGTTTTTAAGTATATTATCTGGATTTTATTTGAGATTGGAATCCAGAAATACATTCTAATACTCTAAGAGGAATAAGACATCCTTCATATAAGTATTTGGCAGATTCAGCCAAATGCCTAATGATAATAAAAACTAGCTAAATTTTCATTGAATTTAAAATCTTCCTTTCTCACGTTGATAAATTTCCAAAAATATAATTGCTATGCTTGGCTCAAGTAAGATTCGGATGATTTCCCAAAATCTTGTCTATCTTGGCACAGTTATATTTTTATAACATTTGACTGGAAAACTAGCCTCAAAGTATGCTAATAATAGTTTAGAAAGAGCAATGCTAAATCCTTCAACTATGAACAACTCAATAAGAGAGAGTTCAATTCGTCAGAAGATGAACAAATCTTCATCCAAAAAGCCCAAGAAAATGCCAAAAATCAGAAGAAGAAAATTACTGAAGTCAAAGTAAGCCCCTCACTCATCTTCTAGTGACAGCTTTGTAGAATACGCTGACAAAGGTAAGTCTGAGGAAAGCTAGGGGTTATAGAAGTTACCAAGATCATAATGTCCAATAAATCTACACTTGAGAATACCAGGAGAAAGGAACAGGAAATCATAAACTTTTATAACAAAAATAGCAAAACTTCATACCAAGCTAAGAAACGTTTGTACCAAAATACTCCCTTAAAGTAAGAGTTTTTACCAGAGTCCCTTTGACATGGTTGCTGATTAATCCCACAATTTTTGTCTCAAGTTCTCAAGCACTACAGTTTAAGTCCTACTTTACCCGTTCATAGTTATACCTTCCTTTATAGACCTGGAGATTTAGGAAATTATAAGATTGGAGATAACAAAATCTCTTTGTTCAAGTACATCAAAGATAACGATTTGTTCAAATCTGCCTTCCAGTTCCATGAAGAAAAGTCTAGTAGGAACTTAGAAGGCATGAAACATGCTAGCTCAGCCAAAAAGAAGCCTCTAGCTTCCTTCCAAGAGTGCTTATAAGCGATATGTACTAATAAGTCACATTCAAAAGCTTATGAAAATGGAGGGGTTTTGGGGTTTTGGGGTTTTGGGGTTTTGGGG